TGGAGGACGCATGAGACAGAATATCCGACTTTATCGAAGATGGCCCGTGATTTTCTTTCAATACCTGCAACTTCAGTACCTGCTGAGAGATTATTTTCTAAAGCATCATTACTCGTAGTAATTAGAAAACATAGAAATAGGTTAAGTGATGAGTCAGCCAGACGGTTACTTTGTATTTATTCTTGGTCAATAGAATTAATATAAAGTAACAGTAATGTCAAAGCTGTTGTGTACTGTTGTGTAATTTAATTTGTATTGTATTTTATTTTTTTATTTAAATAAGTGGTAAATTGTATAACTCTTTTATTCCATTTCATATAAGGGTCTATCAATCTCTTTCTAGACAGATAATGTTCTTTATAATACAGTCAAGTTAATGTCATTAATTTGTTTTTTGTATGTTTTGACTAAGTTTTAGCACATGTAAGCTTATTAAATGTAAACGTTTACTAAGAAACAGACTAACTCCCGTGGCCGTGAGACTTGGTAGACAGCTCAGTTGGTTAGAGCATCGGCACGGATCGCTTAGGTCGTGGGTTCAAACCCCACCCGGTATTAGTTGATTTTTCGAATTTCTCATTAAATGTTTAGACATTTATTAATTTGGTTGGTCTTTCTATGGCTATGTTAATTCAAGCTCAAAATGTGCCTACTCTGTTAAGTTGTTCTAAGATCTAAAGTAACGTTTAATAAATAACAATAGGCTAATAGGTAATTGCGAGACTTGCGAGACTCTTGCTGCAAGACCAAGACCAAGAACAAGACTGAGAGCGCAATACCAAGACCAAGAACAAGACCAGGTGTATTGGCGCAAGACCAAGACCAAGACTGGCTAAGTCTCGTCTTGTTCTTGCATTTGGGCAACACTAGCCAGCAATTCGCATCGCTTGGTCTGTGCTTAACAAGTCAAAGGGCTCATGCATTGCAAATTAAATTGCAACGTTATTGACACTACGTGTATCTTCATAAAGTGACTATAACGCCTCACATTTCGTAGTAAATAAATAAATAAATTTGAATATCAAATGCTTCTTCTTCTCCATCACCTAAAAGCCCACAGCTGGGAATGTACCTCTCCCTTTGTAGGAAGGCAACCGCAAGGCTTAACGCAGATGCCTGTAGCCGGTCTAGGTATTTTACATCGCGCGTAAACGATGGTCACCGCCGTCTATCCGAAGCAATTAGATTTTTTTTTACATTTCTAGTAGTCACTATTGTGTTAGTTAATGCCTCGTGGGCGACGTTTGACAGTGTGCTGAATTAATGAATTGCAGTTACTATTATTCTAGTATATAAGGGACCTATCTACTACTAGTAGTAGACTTGTTCTCATACTGGCTCCTCGCAATGTCTAAATCTTTGATCATTAGTGTCATACACATCGTGGACCTCATATGAATCACTTGCGGATGGCGCACCGTCCAGCTACGTCAATAAATTTGATTGAAAGCTAGGGTTTCATTGCTATTATTGCTTTCTACAATATAAATAATTACCTTTTGAATTTTGCGGTCTTCATGTATGGAACTGTGTATGATAATTCACTCTACAATTATTTGCTGCTGTTATCACTTTGTACTATTAACATATTTCTATATTTTAGTTTTGTGCTCTAATATGTATAATTAAAATGCGGCCAAGTGGGAGTCGTACTCGCCCATGTAAGGTTCCTTAGCAGCTAGTAACATAAGATTAAACTTCGTGATGTTTTAATAATAGTGTATTTTTTTACGATTTATGACGTATTAAAAAAACTACTTAATAGATCTCGTTCCAACCAATTTTCCGTGGAAGTTTACATGATAGTGTACATCATATATTTTTTTTTAGTTTTATCATTCTCTTATTTTAGACCTATTGTTTTATTTGTTATTACATACATACATACATATACACAAACACTCACGCCTGTCACCCTCTGGGGTAGGCAGATACTACAGACTTCCATTTGGCACGATCCTGACACACCTCTCTCGCCTCCTTCACATCCATACACCTACGCATACATGCTCGTCGGTTAAGGGTACTCCTAATTTGGCCCGTTTTCAATAAATCGCCAATTTGGTCGATAACTTTTCGCCTAGGACGTCCCTTTCCGACTAAGCCATTCACTTCTGCAACATAAATTTTCTTTGTCACTCTTTCCCCATTCATTCTTTCCACATGACTTAACCACCGAAGCATTCCTTTTTAATCCTAGTCACAACATCATCTTGCAAACCCCACACTTCTCTTATTACACAATTTCTTACCCTGTCATTCAGATTCAGCCCTAACATACTCCTTAACAACCGAATTTCTACTGCGTTCATTCTACTCTCGTGCTTCTTCTGCCACACCCAACTTTCACTACCATACGTTAAAGTAGGGACCAACGCAGCATTGTGAATTGCCATACGTGCCTTTTTCGACACATTTTGACTTTTCACAATAGAGTGTAGGGCCCCATTTATTCTATTTCCTGCATTCACTCGTTCTATATCCTTATCACATCTCCCATCCCTGCTAAATACGCAACCCAGATATACAAACTCATCTACTTGCTCGATCAACTATTTTTAAACGATATTTATTTGTTATTATTATAAAAAATGATATAAGAAACCACAATGTCATTTTTGAAGACCTATCCATAGATACCCCACACGTATGGTTTTGATGAAAGAATTTTTTTGAGTTTCAGTTCTTAGTATGGGGAACGCACAAAATTTATTGCTTTATTTTCTATTTTTGTATAAAAATTTTAATGCGGTTCACAGAATACACTTAGTCACCAAGTTTCAACAGCATAGTTCTTATAGTTTCGGGAAAAAGTGGCTGTGACATACGGATGGACAGACAGACAGACATGACGAATCCATAAGGGTTCCGTTTTTTGCCATTTGGCTACGTAACCCTAAAAAACACGTCAAGGAGAATGAATGATTAGACACATTCTATTTTCTTTGACGGCTTTTCTTTATATAGGTACTTAAAAATAAGCCAAAGTAGTAAACTTAGATTTGCAGAATATTATATAAAAAAAGATTAGAAGCCTTACTTGTGTTGAATCGGCTAGAATAGTTTATTTTAATTATTTCCGTAGCATTATGTCGCATCGAATCTTGCTATGGGGTAATACGACTGAAATTTGAAATATTCTTTCTTTTGCAGAAGAGAGCCCACATGAGCAATTATAAACCTAAATCTGAAAGAATCTCATGGAGAAATTTTTATATTAATAATTATTTTAAGTTTGACCTTACTCTCAGTATATTTTAGAAAATTTGGTAGTAACACCAGTTACTCGACTGCCAAGTGAACTCTCAGGAAATATCCAAGACCGATCTAAATATCAAAATATTTAATATTTTTATTGTTAGAATTGGTTTAGAAGTGTAGGTAGTGGTAATATTATTAAAGAATACGTGATTGATATTAACCCTTTTGATTGAGGTGATCTATACTATGTCGATTTTAATTGTTTTAATATTGATTATACAAAAATATTGTAAATTAATATTTTAAGGCGTTTCACTAGATTTCTTTCTGGTTCTTTCTAAGACTTAAGTTTTTCTCGAACCTGTTGTATCCACATAAATGACTTAATAAATATTCTTGAAAGTCAATATTTAACAGTCAATTTTTTATTCTATTCCATTATATTCTATACTATAGTATAATACACATTTCTACCACAGTCTATTTTATTCTATTCTATTCAAATATTTTATTTGTGATTTAACATCGTTTGTATATACAATTTCTTTTTCTTTGCTTGGAAGTCTTACTTGCGCTTTTATAAAGGGGTTTATTTCTTTAAGTAATACAGTTTCAGCAACCTGCCACAAATTGCTTAAACAAAACTTCTTACAAATTTATTTATACTATAAATATTAAAATAACCTAAAATGATTGAATATATTGTAAACAAAACTCACTTTAGAATACTCAAATTATGTTTTAAAAAATAACAGTTTTATTTATTACTTACATAGAGATATCTTTAAAACTTTTACTGTTAGTTTCTTCAAAACATTAAATCAAAATGATAAATAAGATCACAAAGCCGTCCCTGCGGAGCAATTTTGGCTGATTGCCAATTATCATTCAGTAATCGGCGAAACAAATGCACGCATGTAGTTTGAGTCAGGTTGAGTTAAAAATATTATATGCGCCAAATTTTTAATTGTATAATACTCGTATATTATATAGCAAATTAAAAACAAATTTATAGTAACCGCACACAATTCAGTTGTTAGTGTTTGCATATTATACCTTATTTTGTTGCATATTATATTATCCGCACCACGTTGTGAATAGAAAATAACCGAAAAGAGTCAATAAAATGCTCTTCCATTAAGTATTTGAAAAATTAAAGCACTTAGAATTTGAATGGACTATCTTTAAATTTAATAAGGTATCTTTGTCTACGGGCTTGCACTTGATTTTTAATAATAACATTTAATTCTACTTTACTTGACTTTGCTTCTTGTGCAGCCTTAAGTAAAGACTTTTATTATAACATCAAAGAATGTCAAATCTAATTATGAACGTAATATAATTTCACCATATATTCTCATCTCATGCGTGCTTATTATCAGACTGCTTTTATTTATTTACAATCAGTTACGCTATATTCATATAAGATGTGATTGCCTCGTTGGTCTAGTGGTTGTAGTAGTGCGACTGCTGATCATGAGGTCCTTAGTTTGAATCCCGGGTCGGGCCAAAATGTTTATTATTGAGTTTATTCGTCAAGATATTCTCAGTAGTTGCCCGGAGTCAGGAAGTTGGCGGTGTCTCACCCCCGTGCCTCGGAAAGCACGTAAAGCCGTTGGTCCGGTCGTGTCGGTTTACCGTCCCATCGGATTATATGAGAGTGAGGGAATATAGAGTGCACCTGTGCTTGCGCACACTTGGGCACTATAATCCTGTCCTGCGCCGATGGCTAATCTCCGTTGAGGCAGGCCGCCGTGACCGAAATTCGGTCTAGAGGATATTATTATCATTATTATAAGATGTGTAGTGCTCTTTATAATTTAAGAGTGAATAACCAGCTATTATGTCCAGTCGAAGGTAAGTTGCCACTGAAGCTTACAGTCACGAGTAACTTCAAACGAGGCTAAAAGTGTTTCGTCATCCATGGTTTTTTAAATATATATCATTACATACAAGTATATATTTTTATACAAGTACACGTTTCCTAACGAAAACCGTATTTGCTAATAAACAGGATAGAAAACGATATATATATAAATAAAGAGATTGAAATTAACATAGAGTAATTAGCCTAATAGTTCTATGGAAATTAACCTAAAAATCTGTACCGTTAATACAAATCTGAATTAATAGAACAGGTGGCTAAAAGAAACAAAATTAATTCAAAACTGAATTCTCAAATAAAAATTATTAGAATGTTTGTGTACATACACATGCATACAGACGTGCTGCAAACACAAGCACACTCTCACTTACACCTTTACATACTGTGTCCGATGTTATAGCCCCTCTACACGTTGGCCAACGCAATGGCCCACTATGATGGGCCAACGTGTGGAGGGCGTAGTTGTGTCGGATGGCTTATGGCGAATGCGATGGTCTCGGGATTGGCGACGGGGTCGGTTTTTCCGCCGCACATCAAACGGTAGTGGGCCAACGATGGCGGTTCGCATCTACACGTGGCCCATTCCACAGTTGTGCGTGCTTGACTGTTGAGTGTGGACGTTCGCGCTTTGTTTATAAATTAACGAAAATTAATTAAAATGACGAATACGTGGCCTCATAACGAAGTTATAAATTTTTTAGAATTATATCGGGGAGAAAGCGTGATATGGAATCCAACACATAAAAAACACAAAAATAAAATAAGGAAAGATGTAGTTTTATATACCTACATATATATAATAGGGTTTATAATTAGGGTTTATATTTAGGGTTTATATATATTTAATAGGGATATGAATAAAATCACCATTTTTAAGTAATTATAAACCCAACACAGATGACAAGTACAATTTTAAAGACTATTTATACTTGGTAACGCCACGCTGCAGCTATATTACGGTTCAGGGTTGCCGTTCTACAAATTTTAAAGTCCCTAGACTAACAGAAAAAAATCCGCCAGAAACAGGATTTTTCTTCTTCTTAAAATCCGCTAGATGTCCATAGGTACATTTTTGTGGTACCCAATGGCTTACTGAAAAATCTTGCCAAATGGTATACAATGGTATACAATTAATACCGAAAATCTAAATCTATAAATTCAAAAAATCCTTAAAAAGAGCGGACTCTATTTCATGTAAATCAATTATATATAAGGTAATGAGTAAAATTAGGTTAATGACATGACAACTAAAACAAAAATTATTCATGCACAAAATAAAAAAAATATTGTAAAAAAATAAATCTCTTTAAACCACGTTTAAAAATTAGTCAACATCTTATTAAAAATAAAAACAATTAGCTCAGTACGTTCTTGTACCTAAATTTCAAAATTAATAGCGAAGTATGGATCCAGATCTTCAAAAAGAACTTCAGCGGAAGTTGAAGCTTCGCCAATGTCTCCAGTTCCCATCTTTGGTTTGCCTTTACCGACTTGGTTGACAACATCTTCGGAAATATTTGCGCAGTTCTTTTTTTGATCCCTAACTGATTTCTAATCAGAAGAATGGTATTTAAAGTTTTTTGTGATAGCTTGTTTCGCAGTTTGCTTTTAACTACATTCATAGCACCAAATACGCGTTCAAAGTCTGCATTTGAGTGCGGTAGTGATAATATTACTATTGCAAAATTAAATAAATCTTTGAATATGTTTACTCTTACTGCGTTTTTGTATGTCGAATCCTTAGAACATGGTCTCAGGTCAAAACAGATGAAAGTGAATGAACGACATTGAATTGTTAGTTTATGTTCGGGAATTCCCGTGAAATTATATTATATATACAGTGTTACCAATGGTAGATTACAAAATTGGACATATGATAAATGACTCATTTGAAATTAATTACTTTGTAAAAAAAAGTCTCCATCTCAAAAGTCCAAATGTCGCTAGAAGTCGCTAAATAATTATTTCTCGCTAAAACAATTTTTTTATCCGCTAAACATTGCTAAAATCCGCTAGATCTGGCGAGAAAGTCGCTAAAACGGCAACACTGTTACGGTTGTACCACGAATGGGTCGGCTCGACCGGGGAAGTGCCACGCTCTCACAGAATACCAGCGAATAGCAGCTTAATACTGATGTGTTTCGTATGGCAAGTGTAGAGATCTGGAGACCCTTTTTTACTGGAAACAAGGCAATCCATCTTAGTCCTCAGGAGTGACAACGCATCTGCGTTTTGGTTCTTAATTGAGGATAAATGTAGATATCTATGGGCTACAGCATCCACTTACCATCAGGTGGACTGTGTGCTCGTTTGTCACACTTATTCTTTAAAAAATAGTTATTTTAGGTACTAGGGGTACTATTTTAGGTCTTCTTCTACGCCATTTCTTTTTAATAACTCTATTCTTGTGCACATTTAGAAAATAACAGTACGTGTTGTATAGATAAATTTCCGCAGCGGCTAATGCTTCCACGTCCATCTCGATAAACGTTTCGATCACAACTGAATGTCGCCAACGTGTAGTTGCGTTGCAGCCATCGCATGGCCATCGCGCTGGGCCAACGCTGGCCCATCGTGTAGAGGAGCTATTAGGTAAAAAGTGAATATGGTTTCTCTGTTTTTATATATACCTAGCTATGGAAGGGCGGTGTCTCCTTACACATTCAATTATCCAGTTATTAATTAAAATTTCTGTGTAAAGGTACTTATAGCTATTTTTAGTTTTTGATTTTATTTTTTTAACGCATCTTTAATTTTGACTTATCTAATCTTCCTGACATTTCGCATAGTGTATCTACTTAAAACGAACGAGATGAAACGTAACATAACGTAAATAGGACTCTTTCCCTAACCCATGAATCATATATGAACATTTCAATTGTTTAACTATTGTGTCTATTTCGCGGACAGGGAAACTGTTATATTGTTGCGATATTGTATTCTATAAACTTTTACTAAATTGATAAACTTTTAACAGCCTTCTCCATTTTTAAGCTTTTTGTGAACGGTAAACGCTTTCTGTTGCATTTTACGCTAAACAACTCGATAACTGGGAACAGGTGCCATGCCTTTTTAGTAGAATGTATTAAACTCTACATTGTTTTAAAATGTAAATCTTCGAAGGTTACTCTGAAAATTAAACGTTTTGAATTATTTCTCGTTTCAACAACACAATCTATTGAATCTATTAATCTATTGAACAAACAATGGATTCAACAAGGATCGGGCAAATCAAATTTAAGTTTGGATTCACAGCTTGCAAATATGTTAAATAAATAAGAAAGCTCTACGTACTCAATATGTATAGATTCTTAACGTATATTGACAAAGTTATTTTTTGCTTGCCATTTCTAACTAATTTAGATAAAGAAAAATTGTCATTCGGAAAGAGAACCCGTTATCCTATTTCATACCATGGGCGAATTAAGAGGCAGCTATGGAAATTTTTATTGCACTTTGTGACAAACAAACGTACAAACGAGCACACAGTCCACCTGATGGTAAGTGGATGCTGTGGCCCATAGACATCCACATTTATCCATCAATATCAATTAAGAATTAAAATGCAGATGCGCTGTCACCCCTGAGGACTAAGATGGAATGCCTCGATTTCAGTAAATAGGGTCTCCGGTTCTCTGCACTCACCATACGAAAAACAGCAGCATTATGCTGCTATTCTGTGAGGGTGTGGTCCTGCCTCGGTCTAGCCGAACCATTAGTGCTAAAACTATAATATAGCTGCAGCGCGGCTCTACCACGTAAAAAATAAAAATGTTATAATACAGAAATGGGACTGTGAAAAGAGGCTAACACACGTTAATTAAATTTATACTATTCAGTAATATCTTATTTTTAATTATATTAACCCCGGTAACACTGAACAGGATTTTTGGTCTGTAACACTGAATAGGATTTTTTCCCAAAGTACCTACCTAACAAAACGACTTCATGAGTTTTAAGTGTCTAAAGCCCCATTTACATTCAGCCACTGCCACTGCTCCTCGCGCTGCCGGCAATACTTCCCTAAATACTGCCGTAGCAGGATCGCGGGAAGTGTGTATTCACACTCTGCCCTACCACTCACATCGCTTTCGGCTTTCGACTATAGCGGACGTCGAAATAATTACAGCGTCCGCGCTGTGTCTTCTTGCAATACAAAATTATGTTAATAATTTAAAAAGATATCAAGTTCAAAAGAAGATAGATAGATAGATAGAAAATTTATTTGCTTAAAAACATGGTACATAAGATGATCAATGACGTGGAACTGACATGTTTTGCCATAATTGGCATGGAAAAATGATATGAAATACAGCTAATTACACAAACCCGATGTTGCTTAAAAGTTAGGTACACACATTCTTTTTGAATTCAAATATTATGTACAATTAAATACTTATACAGATCCACTCTATTTGAATTCTTATACAGTAAATTGTTCATAAATTATTAATTGAATTATTATATTATTGTTACATAAATAATATTAAATATTATATGAGATTAGTTAAGCTATTATTATTTTATTAATTACACTTCAGTATAAACTAATTCGTAATTTTAATTACAATAAAATTATAATTTAAAAATCTCAGGCTATTATGCAAATATTACCTTTTAACTTATTTTACATTTTAATTAATAAATAATCAATATGAGTTACTAATCGTTTTTAGAAATAAAATGTCAATGTTCATTAATTCCTTAAACTAAATTTTATATTAATATAATAAATTTGACGAATTTATAATTAATTATGTACATAGGTACTATGTTAACTCAAAAAGAAAATTCGTATTCGTAGAAGATGATGAATTGTGGTTTTTATCGTTGAAATCCCATATAGTTTTTTTCTGATTCCAGCAGTTCTAAAAACTTTATTGTATTTTCATTAATCCACTCGAAAGGCATTTTGTTAGATCGTATTTATTTAATAACAGGACGGCACGCACGTCCGTTCATCCAGGCGCTTGTCGCGAAGTGAGCGATGGAGCTGAATGTGAACACACACTGCCGCTCGCGCTGCCCGTCCTTTGACTTCCGCACGAAAAACCGACATTTCGGGCAGTGTCAGCGGCAGCGGCAGTGTCAGCGCGAGTAGCCTGTTTACATACTGCCCTGCTCACTGCCCTGCTCACTTCCCTGCCCAAACGGGCTGAATGTAAATGGGGCATTAAATTTAAACACCTAATTTAGCGGTTGAATATGTATTGATAGAACTTTAAAAATCAATACGTCCCTAAAAGCTAATTTTAGCACAAGGTCAACTTCACAATCGGAAACTGGTGGTAATGAATAAGTAGGTTTTTAGATATATTAAAAAAAAACTTAGTCATGTCATTTTGAAATTAACATATTCCAAAAAAATAATATTAATTTAAGTACTTGTATCCTGTGATGATCATTTAAGTTCTGTATCTACAAATCTTCATTTTTCTGACTAAATAAAATTCAATTTTTTAGTTTTTAAAACTAAAGTTCATTCAACTTATTTCGACAGGGCGTACTGTCTATTATTATCCAGAGTTTACGTCTTCAACGGCCTTCGCATTTTTTGGCGAGACTAAGTTGAAAGACGGAATAAAGGTACCATTTATTTGGTTCACACATTTAAATTAAAAAGATACAAACGCTTTAAACTGCTTAGCTGTAAAAAATTATGGGAAAAATAGCCTTAAAACCTGTATATTATGTATTAAGAGTACCTACACTTTTTCTTTTACCGCTTAAGGGGAAATATAATGTCAAATGGCTTAGCAAGATCCTTCGTTATGCCGAAAATATTGCAGCATTAATTTTGAAATAAATATATGGTAAAGTATTGAGGATTAATGTTAATGATTATGTTAGACGAAAACACGATTTCGTAAAATTTTCTCGATAGAAAAAAAATCCAAAGTTACCTCCAAAATAAACAATAAACCGCTGTTATTCATAAAATACTTTAAATAAGATCATGAAACTTTGCATACTAACTGAACTAACTATAAAGCAGTGCTTATGTTATTTACTTTTTTAAAATACCGTTATTTTCACTGTAAAAAGAAATTACCTAAACTATCGGCGTCTTGAGCTTGATTCCTGTCGCACCGTTAGTATCGCTTAGGCTTTTGAAGGGAGAAGTTGTGTCGCTTACGATCAGAATATACATTTACGCAACAGTACGACGTAAAATTAAAATGGGAAATAACCGTGATAAAAATAAGAAGCGGCTGGCTTGGCGTTAAGAAACAGGCATAAATATGATAAACCTAATGAAATAAGTGTCTAACGACCTTTCTACTTACAGTATTAGTGATTACAAACATATCGGTACATAGCATACGACGCGCGGGGAAGTGGGGGTGAAATTAGAATTTGAGCTGACTTACTCTATCCTCTTAACGTAAAAGTAATCTAGAGGATTTAAGTTAGGCGAACGGGCTAGCCCCGAAATTGTACCAGACAGCCCTACTCACCTGTTCTTGATCTAGTAAGTTTCTACTGGGCTAGCGTAATGCGCTGGTCTTGTATCCTGTTAAACCACGCCTGTGAAAACATCAATACTGATTCGTTATCGCTTCTGTAACTATTTTCACGTTTTCTATTAGCATTATTTTAAAGTATCTACGAATACAGAAACGTTATAATACAAATTTTATTAAAGAGACAATTTATTGCGAAGTTATGACATGATTTGAAACTTACCTAAATATTTCGTTTGTTACAGAATGCCCTCCAGAAACGTGCATAGAAGAGACACAAACAGATCCGCCGGCCCCTTTTACAAGTAAATATCATTTATTTTTATGTAACTAGTGGCCAATAATTGAAACAATTCAAAAAGTTATTTTTCCATTTTCTTCCCGTTTTTATTATATAATATTATTTTGAAAATAAAAGCTGGCTGTATTTCTTGCTAGTTTTCCTAGTTTTATTCAGCGTTTATTCCAGCGGTACAAGTTAAAAATGAATTTCTACGAGAATTGTTTGTATGCTATGTATGATAAAATATTTATTGTGATCTATCTATTATTATTCTATCTGTTATTTGGCCTTTGCCTTGCTCTGGACTTACTCCCAATTCACATATTATTTTTACCGAGATTGTTAAATTAGGTACCTACGTCATGAATTTAAAACTTTAAAAACAGAACTGCAGTGATAGTTTGAAAATATTATGCATTAATGTTTGCTTTGCACAAAGCGGTTATGAAGGCGTCAGTCAATTTTAAGACGCTTTAAGAGTTAATCATCAGCCGTATGTTTGTACTCGTATATCGCACCATATATTTAGTAAACTAGCTATATAAGTTGAAAACCATAAAATATCGGGATTATTACTGTTAGTGCTAGACGGGCTGTGATCGCTGTCAAAGCCAGAATCTCGCGTGAAATGAAATAGGGTAGGTAGGTACCTATATTCATTTCAAATTATTAATTAAGAACTGAAGTTAGGTAATTAGCGCCGAGACACAAGGCGTGCCTTAAATTAGTCCCTGCAGCATAAAAGTGGTACTCAATTCAATCAAAACGCTCCTTGCTGTTCTGATATGCTGGTAAAAGTCACAGAAATGTGCTATCTACGGATGAAAAAAATTACTATTTATTACAGATTTGAGGAGCATCAAACTGTATGCTCACAGCTTTAAGGAAACCACGCAATTTGTTGGAAAATTTCAGTACGGTCATCTTCAGTCAAGCTTCGTTTTTTAACAATAAAAGTGAAGTTTAAAAAGAGACTGACTTCGAACGAAGTCGATTCGTTAAAGACTTTTCAAAAATGCACCGTGGGCTTTCCAAAGAGTTACGAACAACTTGAACCTGGCTGGATAACATTGTTTTGGTCTTCATAATAACTGTAAAGACTATTAAATAAAAATATTTACATACATAACACATACTACATATTTAAAAACATGAACCGTGTAATGGCGGCGTGAGAGACTACTTTCACATAATCCCGTGGCGTAAGAGTCTAACGAGGGAAATGAAACAAGAAATGTATAGCAGCAACTTCTTCAACAAAAATGTGTAGCAACAACTTCATTGCAATAACTTAAAAATAATGATAAAAAAGCTCCGATTGCCAATCCCCTACCAAACGTGGGCATTATGACACTACCTGAGACCCGCTCGATGTAAAATATCAAGAAAACTTTTCTTAGATAGAACTATCGTAAAATCATAAAAATTTTTAGTGAGCGTCTACACTGCGTAATTAGTAACTGCATACCTACTAAATTTTACGTTAATCGGGTGTATAGTTTTAAAGAAGCGGCCCCACACGAAATGGACCTGGTCGAGCCCCGACGGTTCGACAAAAAAAAATTGATTAACTTCATTACGACGACTATACGGCAACTGTTCAGTGATGTCTCAGTGATCGCGAGGGTGAAAATTGGCAGTGATCATCGAATGGTTAGAGGCACATTGAACCTAAACGTTAAGTTGGAGAGGTCTCGTCTAATGAATTCAACGCTCCATCCCCTTCGTGCTCTAATCCAAAGACCCAAAACTTTTCAGCTCGAGTTATAAAACCATTTTCAGTGCCTATAAGACTGCAATGCATTATGCAGTAGACAACATGAATTATAAGCTCGTGAAAACTCTCCATGCGGTCGGAGCTAAGTTCTGCAACACCCTCCGCAGTAAAACAAAAACCTCTCCGATCATACTCTTAATCACTTCTCTGTTAGACGGGAAATGAAGCTGCAGTCTGCAACAGATTTGACAGCATACAGGCAACTGAACAGAAAAATCTCCAAATGCATGGGTCGGGACTTACGCAACTTTAATACTACTCGCACTGAACTAGCGGTCGAGTGAAACCAAGGCTCCAAAGACTTTGCCAGAGATCAGTTTGCCAGAAAGAGCCAACTGTCAAAGCTGAAGACAGAGTGTGGCAGCATCGTTTCCGAGATACCTGAGATTTTGAGTGAGATTCTGAGGTTCTACGGGCGGCTGTAAACATCATCGTCAGAGCCATACGCAAGTGTGAGTAACGGCGCAAGAGCAAGTCATATCCGACACTATTTCGATGATATCCCGGTCAGCAAAACGCTGCAAGAAACTCACAAGTAGACAATTTACTCCGAATAGCTACAATTGGCTGCTATACTCAGCGTAGTTTTAAATTTAAAAGTATTATTATTCTGTAATCATTTGTTTAGTTTTTTTAACCAAAGTATTTTGTTTAAACTTAAGTTTATTTCATGATAATTATACATAATTGTTGTAGTATCTGTTTATTATAATTTATTATGATGGAAAAAATTTGGCATGTCCAAAAGGGATTTAGAAAGGGAATGGGGCGTACAGATCAAGTCTTTTCCATGTGCATGATCGCGGAGAACTTTTTTTATTTTTTTGAGTTCATGAACTTGGAAAAGGCTTATAACAGAGTAAACAGGGATGTGTTAGGCAAACACTGAACTCATTTGGGTTGATACAGACGTTAAAGTATCTTTGTAGAGACTAGTGCTTGTGTTAGGATCAATGGGGTCCACTCGGACTGTTTTGGCATACATGAAAGTGTCAGACAGGACTGCGTGGCTTCTCCGTAGCTGTTCAACCTATTTAAGGACAGTTGTTTGGAAAATTTGAAAGTTGAAGATTGTGTAAAGTAGGTAAATAAAGTCCATTTTTAAACAATTCAATTGGATTTGAATTGAATCGACTAAGACCACATCTTATTTGCGCTTGGTAATAAAGTTTTATTCGCAATTTAATTTATCATTGTCGGTAACGGTTACTTTTCTTGTTAATTAACGTTTAGAAGTCTAAAGGAGATTAGCGCAATATCCATTACATGTACAATACAATACCATTAATGAGATAATAAAATTCAGTTAGTTTAAGAATGGGTGAGTTAACCGTCCAATGCCTTTTGTACGCCGATGATTAAGTCATATTTGCGTCGTCGGCGGCTGAGTTGCAAATGATAGTTAGTAGTTACATTAATGAACAGGCTATTAAAAGAAAGGGGAATAAAAGTGAACGCAAGTAAGACGAAGGTTATGGTTTATGAAAGAGAAGAAAGTAAAACGATATGTGAAATAAGAATAGAAGGGGAGTTGGTCGAGCAAGTAGGGTCGATGCGCCGAAGCCGGCCGGGTCTAGATTTCGGCCTTTGGCAAGCTGATGCAGTAAATTTGATTTAATAACAATTTTAATAAATATTATCGTAAGAAATACAGTTTAGTTTCACTATATCTGGTAGCATTAATTAATCAGGTAAACACAACACGCGATTTATAATAAATAGTTTAGTTTGACGCCGACACTGAAGCTATCAAAACGGGTAAGATCGAGCAAAAAAAATAGTGGCGAGCGTTCCATTCAAAAGTAAGTTTCGTTCTGTATTTAATATAATTACTTAATATTGTGCTCATATTTCACTATATAAATAACCTAATATAGTTATTTGACACTGATTATTATAATAATTTATTGATAAAGTTAATAAATTAAGTGGCCGAAAAGTGACACATAAAATTGTCCCATTATTTGGTTGTCGGCCATGCGGCCGAAAAGTAGCCTGAGTTTAGCCTAAATACTTTGTCTCTTTCGTTTATTTGGTTACGTACTATAACTCATCTTTCTTACTTATATTGAATCGTAGCGTGCGTAGACACTAACTTTCAGTTTTCGGCCACCAAGTACTGCAATTTGAACAGTTAGTGATGAAACAAAATACCCATTTCAGTCGTGGCCGAAAACTGGATTGACTCTAAAATATATACAATTTAGTTTTCGGCCAACTTAAAATTGTATGAAAGAATACGGCGGCGGAAAATGGAATACTGCCTTAGTTTACGTTTACGACCATTTCATCTTATCATATCAAATATTTTATTCACATTGCGTTTTAGGAAGAAGATTCAAAAAGAATTTTTTTTCTTCAGATGGCTCCTCTTGGTTAGAGATGAGAATGGTTAGATATGGTAACAGATTTTGTTAAACTAAAATACTTATGAGGAAGTACAAAATACTCGTAAATCAGAATATTTGATTGTTATATTTAAAAGATTTTATTATTAGATTATGATTCAAAGAGAAATAATTAATCATGGTTATTATTTTATATCAAAAACACACCCAAAAAGAAAAAAATAACGTCACGGTTAAAAAATCGCAATCACTGATTGAGAAAACTAAATACACCGATTTCCCAAACCGTTTTGCCATTTTCTGATTTTACAAAAACACTTTTAAGTTTATAGTACCTCTTCTAATACAGTGGCCGAAAACTAAAATTCTTGTAGGCCGAAATCTAAAATTTGGGGCCGAAAACTAGCGTTTTGCATATTTTTCACATCAAAATTTATTATAAAAAATAGATTTCTTTTGTAGCATTAATGAGTTATCAAAATGAAAACTACATTATATAAGCTATAAATTAACATTAACAACACTAGGAACTATTATTATTTTTTATAGTACCTTAAAGTTGACAACTCCACTAAAAGGCCGAAAACCAGCGCAACGACCCTACTAGCTTGAGATACGAGTGTACCTATCAAATTTGTAACTTTTTATTAGGTTAAAGTTCTTTCATTATTCGTTTAGCGTGGAAAGGGTAGCAGTGAACTGGACCACTGGACTCTGGGCTTTTTATAGTACCTTAAAGTTGACAACTCCACTAAAAGGCCGAAAACCAGCGCAACGACCCTAGATGAGTTTGTATGTTTGGGATGTGTATTCAGCAGGAATGGAAGATATGATAAGGACATAGAACGACGACTGAACGCAGGTAATAAAGTAATGGGGCTCTACGTTCTATTGTGG